TTGCACCAAAAGCAAGAGAGCGCGAGGGGGTGTAAAACCAGTGTGAAGTTAGCATTAACCAGTCAGCAATAGATTATGCATATATCACGTAAATTTGTCAATGAGGTGTAGCATTACAAGTAGAAGAACACGTTCATGGGGTGCTGTTTGAGGTAGGATCAATATTCTCTTAGAAGGGGTGAATTTAATGAGGCGACGCCTGAAGGTAGCATGCATGTATAACCTAACTAAAACAACCCTTACGCCATCTGTATATTTCCTCTGGAAATTCATGAAAGTTGGATCGTTGCGATCGAATTCATTTCGTAGTTCCTTTTTCTGCCAATAGAGGTCATGCAAAGCATCTTTTCCTTACAGTGACTCTATACGTATAGCGAGAGGTATAGAGACAGTGTGGATTGGGAGAAATTAACCAAGGTGATGATATTATTGTAACCAATTCGGTTAAAAACAATTGGCTCAATAATAAGTTTGGAAAAAAACATGGCGTGGATGGAGAATATGGCCACGCTGTCTTTATACAGTCACTGCACTTTTCTATTTAAATGAAGCATCTTGGGTGCTCAAAAATTGTAGTGCAAGTGGTATGGGCACTATGCGGCTTGAGCACCAATATAGTAAAATTCAATTACTATTTCTTGAAAATTATATGAAGAGCGAACCGCTCCACAAAGAAGAGGAGGTATGGAATACCCATCAGGAGAAAAGATCCGTTCAATCTCTCGAATCTCCCCTCACTGAATATTGTATGTACAAGTAGCATATATCCATACCCCTCAGACACCCAGGTGATTTTCCCCTAAAACGTACAGCTGTAAGGACTCTCGTGATACTTTTCTATAAAGAAAGAAAATTAATTAATTCAAGTAAGGATCGAGTCCGCGGTTAATTAAAATTGATTAAAAAATGTGTAATTCTTGAAGTCGGGCGATTAACAATTATACCGCAAAACAATTGCGCATAATTGGCGCTTAATTTGTGACAGTTAAAAAAAGCATAATTAACGCTTAATTTATTAACGTGATTAAAAAATGTGTAATTCTTGAAGTCAAGAAATTAAAAAATAAAACTAATTGCGCATAACTTGCAAAAATTTTAGAAGTTGGTTAATAAAGATGAGGATGGAATCAGCGTTTAATTAAAATTTAATTAAAAATTTGCAATTCTTGAAGTGGGGAGATTGAAAATTGTAGGGCAAAATAATTGCGCATAATTAGCCCCTAATTTGCAAGAGTTCACCATGAGGAACAAATCCGCTTTAAATTAAATTTGATTACAGAATTTACATTTCTTGAAGATCTTGGAGATTAAACATTTTAGCCCAAAAAAATTGAGCATAATTGGCGCTTAATTTGTCCAAATTAATAAAAAAAATTGGTTAATAAATTTGAGGATCCAGGAGATTAAAAATTACAACGCAAAACAGTTGCTCATAATTAGCGCTTAACTTGCGAAAATTAAAAAATAGGGGGATCGAGTCCGCGTTTAATTAAAATTGAGGAAATAATTTGCATTTCTCGAGAAATTATAGCGCCAAAAAATTGCGCATAATTAGCGATTTACTTTTGGGAATTAAAAAAAATTGTGATTATTTAAAGTGAATCGTGTCCGTCTTTAATTAAAATTGATTCAGAAATTAGCAATTACTCAAAACTGAGAGATTAAAAATTATAGCGCAAAGTCTTTGACCCTAATTAGCGCTTAAATTATAAAAATTAAACCGATAATTGATTAGTAAAGAGGCGAGGATATATAGTTCGATTTTGTTAAAGTTGATTAAAAAATTAGTAAATCTCGGATTGGAGAAATTAAGATATTAAAATAATTGCGCATAATTAGCGCTTAACATGCGAGAATTAAACAAAATTGGTTAATTAAAGTGACAATCGAGTCCGCACTCAATTAAAGTTGATTAAAAATTGTCATTTCTCAAATTCGGCAGATTAAAAATTATGGCGCAACATAATTCAACATAATTAGCGCTTAATTTGCCAGAATTAAAAAAATATTGGTTAATTAAAGTGAGTATCGAATCCACGTTTAATTAAAGTTCATTGAAAATTTTCATTCCTTCAAGTCGGGAGATTAAACATTATAGCGCAAAATAATTGCGCATGATTAGCCCTTAATTTGCAAGAATTCGCCAATAAGCATGAGGGACAAATCCGCTTTTAATTAAAATTGATTAAAGAATTTACATTTCTTGAAGTTTGAGATTAAATACTTTAGCGCAAAAAAATTGAGCATAATTAGCGCTTAATTTGTCTAAATTAATAAAAAAAAAATTGGTTAATAAATGCGAGGATCCAGGAGATTAATTACACCGCGAAACAGTTGCTTATAATTAGCGTTCAACTTGTGAAAATTACAAAATAGAGAGGATCGAGTCCGCGTTTAATTAAAATGGAGGAAATAATTTGCATTTCTCGAGAAATTATAGCGCCAAAAAAATGCGCATAATTAGCGATTAACTTTTGAGAATTAAAAAAAAATGTGATTATTAAAGTGAATCGTGTCCGTGTTTAATTAAAATTGATTCAAAAATTTGCAATTACTCAAAATGAAGAGATTAAAAATTGCAGCACAAAATATTTGACTCTAATTGGCGCTTAAATTGTAAAACTTAAACCGAAAACTGGTTAATAAAGAGGCGAGGATATAGATTTTGTTAAAGTTGATTAAAAAATTAGTAAATCTCGGATTCGAGAAATTAAAATATTAGTGCGCATAATTAGCGCTTAACATGCGAGAATTTAGAAAAATGGTTAATTAAATTGAGAATCGAGTCTGCGTTAAATTAAAAATTAAAAATTTGCATTTCTTAAATTCGGGAGATTAATTCAGCATAATTAGCGCTTAATTTGCCAGAATTAAAAAAAGATTGGTTAATTAAAGTGAGTATCGAATCCGCGTTTAATTAAGGTTGATTGAAAATTTTCATTCCTGGAAGTCGGGAGATTAAAAATTATAGCGCAAAGTACTTGCGCATAATTAGCCCTTAATTATCAAGAATTCGCCCATAAGTATGAGGAACAAATCCGATATTGAGCATAATTAGCATAATTAAAGTTTGTCTAAATTAATTAAAAAATGGGTTAATAAATGTGGGGATCCAGGAGATTAAAAATTACAACGCAAAACAGTTGCTTATAATTAGCGCTTAACTTGTGAAAATTAAAGAATAGGGAGGATCGAGTCCGCGTTTAATTAAAATTGAGGAAATAATTTGCATTTCTCGAAAAATTATGGCGCCAAAAAATTGCGCAATTTGCGATTAACCTTTGAGCATAATTAGCGCTTAATTTGTCTAAATTAATTTAAAAAAATTGGATAATAAATGTAAGGATCCAGGAGATTAAAAATTACAACGCAAAACAGTTGCTTATAATTAGCGCTTAACTTGCGAGAATTGAAAATAATTGTTTTAATTAAATCGAGAATCGAGTCCGCGCTTAATTAAAGTTGATTAAAAATTGGCATTTTTCAAATTCGGGAGGTTAAAAATTATGGCGCAAAATAATTCAACGTAATTAGCGCGAAATTTGCCAGAATTAATAAAAGATTGGTTAATTAAACTGAGAATCGAATGCGCATTTAATTAAAGTTGACTAAAAAGTTTCATTTCTGGAAGTTGGGAGATTAAAAATTATAGCGCAAAATAATTGCGTATAATTAGCCCTTAATTTACAAGAATTCACCAATAAGTATGAGGAACAAATCCGATATTGAGCATAATTAGCGCTTAATTTGTCTAAATGAATTAAAAAAATTGGTTAATAAATGTGAGGATCCAGGAGATTAAAAACAAACAACGCAAAGAATTGCTCAGAATTAGCGCTTAATCTGTGGGAATTAAGAAAAATTGATTATTATAGTTAATAATTTGTCTGTTGTAGCCGGAAGATTAAAAATTATAGAGTCGAGTCCGCGTTTAATTAAAATTAATTAATTTAATTAAAAATATAGTACAGAGAAATTAAGCATAATTAGCGCTTAATTTGTGAAAATTAAACATAAAATGGATTAATAAAGTAAAGAGGGTCGAGTTTGCTTTTGTTAAGATTGATTAAAAAATTTGTAAGAAAAATTAAAAATTATAACGCAAAATAATTGCGCATAATTAGCGTTTAACTTGTAAGCATTAAACAATAATTGATCAATAAAGGTGAGAATCGCATGCGCTTTTAATTAAAATTGACTAAAAAATTTGCAATTCTTGAAGTCGGCAGTTTAAAAATTATAGCGGTAATAGGTTGAGTTGAGCGTAATTAGCGCTTAATTTCTGCAAATAAAAAAATTTAATTATTAGGGGTGATGTTGGAATCCACTATTAATTCAAATCGATTAAAAAATGTGCAATTCTTAAATTGTAGCGCAAGATAATTGAACATAATTAGAGCTTAATTTCTGAAAATTAAACAACAAATGCATGAATTTTGCGAGAATCAAAGAAACAAATAATTACAACGTCAAACAAGTGCACAAAGTTAGCGCTTAACTGGCAAAGATTAAACAAAATTGATGAATAAAGGTGAGGACAGAGGAGATTAAAAAGTTGAGCAAATTTGAATTTCTTGAAGTCGGGAGATTAATTAATTAAACATAATTAGCGCTTAAATTGTAAAAATCTAACAAAAAATTGATTAATTAAGAGGGAAGAATTGATTAATTAAAGTGAGGAACTATTTTTAAAGAACGTAGCACCGTGGGATCTGGGGGGTACATGCAAAAGTCGATGACTATTTCCTGGCGGGGACCCCCCCCCCGGATCATTTTTTCCGCACTACAAAGGACGTAGCACTGGGGTGCCGGGGGGGGGGGCAACGTATAGCAACTATTTCCTGAAAATTACTTTTTATGGCAACTCTTGAAACCCCTGTACAACCCCTTTGAGGCTCTTCAAAATTTCTGAAGCCCCTTAAATTACCTTCCTTAAATTTTTAGACATTTCCCTTCCTTCATATTAGTATATTTTGGTAAAGAAATCTTTTATATTTCAGATGAAGAATGGAACAACGATGTGGCCGATTCCACCTTATACCTAATGCACGGATCAACCGAAACGAATTTCCCGAGAGCATCCGAAAGATTCATCAAAAGCGAGTCGAAAATATCCGAACGGTACTCGCGACAACCCGAGACGAGATATGACGAAAAACACAAATTTCTATTTAACGAAAGACAGTCACAAAACCACCCTAAGTCGCTGGAACGTAAACGTTACACTGAGGAGAGGCACGAGACCGCCAAGCAGAGGAACTTTGACGATTGGGAGCAGGAGAACGTACGGTACTCCCGTGAAAAATTCATCGAAAACTACGCGTACTCCAACCCGAAGTACGCCGACGAAGAGGAATCGCGACCGCACTACTACGAGGAACAGCGCGACTATCGGGAGGCTCCGGTGCCGAAGGCGCGACAGAAACAGGGCTACTTCGAAAATTCAAGACGGTATTACGGCGACGAGAAACGGGGGGAGTGGTTTTCCAACGGGCGAAATTCGGGAATGGACAGATACTCAGATCGGGACTCAAAGTCGAGATCGACCGAGTACTTGGTCGAGGAGGTGCGCAAACGGCCCGGACTTAGGCAGCGAAGCCCTTCGCCCATCGAAAACGACACGCCACGTGACCGTTTCAAGGACGCGAAAGAAAAGTTTTTGCTTCTCGAGAAGGAGCGCTTGGAGCAAGAGCGGTTGAGGAAGGAGCCGCCGATTTCGCCCACGCACAAAGAAATGCCGTTCGTGAATCGGCGGTACGACGACAAGGTACGATATTACGACGAGAAGCCGGAACCGGCGCCGAGGGCTACGCTTCAAGAGAACGTCCGGTACCAGAAGGAGGCGTCCGATCGGTACCGGCACGTCGACAAGTACGACCCGAAACGTCGCTCGATGTTCTGCTTAATCGAGGAGGAGCACAAGAAGAACTCGAACGAAATCGCGCGCGAGCTCAAGCGGCGAACGTACGTCGAGAACAACAACTACGAGGACGACTACTACCGAAACAACGACGAACGCGACCACCACTACTCTCGTTCGAAATCGCCGGTCGACACGAACCAGATCGAAGACCTCAAGTACGTCCGCAACCCGAAGGGCAGACACGCGGCCGGCTACAGGCACAGCTACGCCGAGCCCAAGCTCAAGATGGACAAGTCGAAGAAGCTCTTCCCCGACATGCTGCAGCGCACCAATAGCACCGTCTCGAATTCGGGACGCGTCGGACTCGCTAGCATCCATCCCTACTGAACCGACGACGACGCTGCAATAAAATCCCCAGTTGAGATTTCCCCCTCCCAAGTTCGACGACTTGTGTAAATTAATCTCTCTATTTATTGTTTTTTTGATTGTGTGCCTTATACTTCTAACGTTAGAATTTAAGCAAGTAACATGACTACCTTTTGTTAACTATTACAATTGACTCTTTAAACAAATTTTATTCATCGTGTAACGAAGAAGGATTTATTATTGTTTCGAATTTATCATAATGTTTATATGAATGTATTTTTCAAATATATCGATTTATGGAATGTGTAACCGGCTGGTTACTTTCCAACTCTCTTTACCCTCTCTTCTTAAAATCCTTTACTTGGGGGTGGTTCTTCCTATAAACATTGAGGGTTGTTGGGCGCCGGCTAGCTTCAGTCGATAATTCTTCTGGCCTCAAGGAGAGGGGAAAGGATAAATGAATAAAAATCAATAATCTTTATTAAAACCTGTTGGGTTCTTTTTGTCTTAGAAATCGCCTCTTATCTGTAAGTAACACATGTTAAAAGAAATGGGGGTGAGGCGGTACATCCTGTGGAAACAAAGTTAATTCATTCATACACAAAAAGTCACTGCATATAAAAGAAAATATGTATTTATTATGTGAATTAAATCAAGTTATTTACTCTCAAAACCGCCGAGTACAGAAAGAACATTAATTCGTATTTCATAAACTCTTATCCACTTTAGTCGAAAGTCACCACAAAACTGCTGTAAATGCGTGTAGTAACGCTTTCAGGTTCGAGTCGTTTAAATGAATGCAAATAGTGCTGATAAGCACTAAATTGCACGCAACACTAGTAGGTAATTTAAATCGCCTTTACAAACATACCAATTTATAATAGTTTTGTAATAATAAAAATACAACGAAATAATGAATCCACAATGGGGCGAACTACAACGAATTAATAAATCTACAACGAGGCGAACTACAACGAACTATTGTCTACAAATACCTCGAGTTCATAAGTGCACCAGGACTTGGAGGTATTTTTGTCGCACGATCGATGTGGAAGTCGAATGAATTCGGACCGCCCACTGCAGGCTGCTGTTCGCTTTTGAGCTGGACCAATCACAGGCAGGCTGGTGTATCTCGATCTCAGTTTGGTACTCTCCAGCTGGATTGCGCACGTACCGACAACGGAATCCTTGCCTTGTTACGACGACTAGGAGAGGGGTTGCAACTTCCACCCCACCATCCACTAGCGCCCTATTGGCCGCGTCGCCAGACGCCTCTACCGGAAATCGTTTATAAGCAGCGCACCGACAGGGGAACTTCACTTGTGCCTGGGCAAGCCTACCTTACCCTACAACAAGGCTGGTCGCTTGGGCTCAAGACCGTCTCCGCACGCGATCACTTCCCGGCTTGACCGTAGTCAAGTCCGGCGCCATCCCACGTGCCAGAAGCGATCTTATATATGTACATATAGCCTCTGTATTATTTGTAAATATTGTGTAATATACTTTTCAACCTCCGTTTGCCACTTACGTTACCCCGCCCGGTAACAATTGGCGCCCATACGTGTGAGTCAACCAGCAGCATCGCGCTCTGAGGATCTACGCCCACGCTCCCGCGACAGCCGACGCGCAACACCATGAATACGAGGAGCAGGAACACCCCGACGTCCAACTCCGGCGCCGACGAAGGTATCGACACTCAAACAACGGAGATGACCCCGGCAATCAACCCCGGTCTGGACCCGGCAACCCCGTCCAGTGGCGCCCAACACTCTCAACACACCCTCGACATGCTAAAGGCGCTGACCGACGCCCTCCAGAACGCGCAGAAAACCGCATCACCGGACCTACCGACCTTCAGCGGCGACCACCTGGAGGACCCAACAGTCTTCTTCAGCACGCTCGAGCAGACAATCCAAACCACCGACCCGACGGAAAAGTTAAAAACAGCAGCAGCACAACTAAAAGGGGAGGCTGCGAAATGGTGGAACAGTTACGAGGCATTTTCACCGACATACAACGACCTAAAGAACTACACCCGCGAAAAATACGACAGCAGCAAGATTCGCGGGAAGATGCAATCAGAATTCTTCGGCCGAGAACAAGGAGCAGAGTCGCCGCAGCAATTCCTCCAGAGGAAGGCACAGCTAGCAAAACGGCTGAAGATCCCGATCGGCGAGCACCTCGAGCTACTGAGAGACCTGCTGCACCCACGCATTAGAGTAGCCTTTTTAACCACAACACCCACTTCACTCCTCGACTTGGTGCGTCACGCCGAGGAAATCGAAAACTGCAACAAAGCGCTACCTCGAAACAATCAACCCAGACCATCGCCACCAACCCCCGCCGACAGACCTCCCAACACACCAAAGTGCCACCACTGCCCGGAATATCACTTCCACCGAGACTGCCCAGTACTGACCCGCCGCCGAGACCAGGGAAACGGGGCAGCGGTCGGGAACAATGCCCGGCCGTCCACCTAATCCAGACTGCGACCCGACCCAACCTACCAACGCTGGCAGTCAAGGTACGCGGAAAAAGCGTAAGAGCTCTCCTCGACTCCGGATCATCCCATAACTTCATCCAGAAGGAGCTCGCGTGGAAAATCCACCATAGCAACCACCAAACAGCCGGCCTAGCGAACCCCCGCCATCAGCTGGAAGTCATCGGCACATCCAGAGTCGAGTACACGCTCAACGACAAGCAAGAATCGGACGACTTCCTGGTGACACCAAACCTTGTCGTGCCCATGATCTTGGGACAGAAGTGGCTCCAAGAACATCGAGCGGTGCTGGATTACGAGAGAGCGTGCATCCACTGGGGAACCCATACAAGGCAGACAACACACTGGGACCAAGCTCCGAACCGCGGCCCAACAACGAGCGACTCCATAAACTTCGCCGGAGTCAAGCACGGGTTCCAACCACCACTCGATCGACGCCTGGCCACACTGCTGGAAACTTTCGGTAGCACACTGGCCGATCCTGCAACGCCCACAACAACAGCATCCACCACACATCGCATCCGAGTCACCAAAACAACGCCCTTCCGACTTCCGCCATATCGACATTCGCCAAACAAAAAGAAGGTCATCGCGGATGAAGTGGAAGCTATGTTAGCAGCGCAGGTGATCGAGCCCAGCACGTCCGAATATTGCTCGCCCATCGTCATAATTCAGAAAAAAGACGGCCGCCCGAGATTCTGCATCGACTACCGTCGTCTAAACGCCATCACAAAAGACGAGAGCACCAACCTGCCAGTCATACAGGAGACCCTCCGAGACCTGGGGACGGCCAAAGTTTTTTCCAGCCTGGATCTCAAATCAGGCTACTGGCAGGTGCCGCTAGAGACGGAATCCCGACATCTCACCGCGTTTTCAACCCCTGATGGAGCGAGTTATCAATTCAAAGTAATGCCGTTCGGGCTCAAGAATGCACCTGCTACGTTCCAGAAGCTAATGACCCAGGACGTTCTCGCCGGGTATTTACGGAAATTCGTCATGGTATACCTGGATGACATAATAATCTACTCAGACTCCTGGGACGAGCACCTCAAACATCTACACCTCGTGCTGGAACGACTGCAACGCCACAAACTCCGCTTGTCCCTCGAAAAGTGTCGCTTCGGGGGGCAAACGATCCAATACCTGGGCCACAACATCACGGCGAACGGGAACCGCCCGTGCCAGGAACACATCGAAGCAATCCGGACCGCAGACCGGCCCACCTCGAGGAAGAAGCTAAGAAGTTTTCTAGGATTGACCAACTGGCTACGAGAGTACGTGCCCCGGTGTGCCGAATTACAAGCACCGTTGGATAACTTACTAACAAAGAACACCCCTTTCCGATGGACAGCGGCAGCCGACGTCGCCTTTAGCCAGTTAAAAGCAGCACTTAGCAAACCACTCCAACTCAGCCGTCCGGACTTCGCCACTCCATTCGTGCTGCAAACCGACGCCAGCGAAAACGGGATTGCGGCCGTACTCTTTCAAGAACCCCACCCCGGAGAGAAAAAAATTATCAGCTACGCCAGTGCCAAACTTAACCACGCGCAGAGACGCTACCATATCAACGAACAGGAGTGCTTGGCAGTAGTGTGGGCCATTAAACGATACCGGCCATATCTGGAAGATAGACGTTTTACGTTGAAGACAGACAGCCGCGCTCTCCTGTGGCTGGATCGCACAAAAGACGAAAAGAGCAAGCTAACTCGTTGGGCATTACGGCTCCAAGAATTTACATTTGATGTGGTCCACTGTCCGGGGAAAGAAAACGAGCTTCCAGACCACCTGTCCCGCCACCCATCAGCAGAAGAAGCCGAAGAAGCCACGGCAGAAGACGTAAACCGCATGCTGCCACCTACGACCACACACGAGTCCAAACAAACCAACAGCACCCCGGTAATCGCGGCAGTGGAAGTGGCCAATTTGGCGGACCATGTGAAGGAGTGCCAAAAGACAAACGAAAACGCCATCGTTCTGGTACGCACCTGGCACAGAATACAGCAGGAAGGACCAGCGACACCAGCACAAGCAAGGTTCAACCGGGATTACACGGTGGACAACGGTTACCTCTACCGCAAAGCACCCCAAGGGAACCTACTCGTAGTCCCCTGCAGCCTTCAACCAGCGGTACTAGAAGCGTACCACAACGCAGCCACAGCTGGACACCCAGGAGCCGAAGAAACGGAACGGGCCATAATGACACATTACCACTGGGCGAAACTGGGAGACACGGTGCGGAATTATGTACGAGCATGTTGGATTTGCGCGGCAGTCAAAAGAGGCCCGGTCCAGGACGCCACCGTACGCCCACGCAAACCCACACGACCCTGGGAAGCGGTTTCCGTAGACTTGATGGGCCCCTACGACGCCACACCTACAGGCTACCGCCAGATAGTCGTGATCACGGACCTCTTCAGCATGTGGGTGGAGGCATTTCCAGTAAAGGAAGCAGTCGCTCCAACAGTGGTCAGAATCCTGGAACACGAGGTATTCGCACGCTATGGTTTCCCGAGAGCGATCATCTCAGACAACGGACCGCAATTCACATCAGTGACATGGGACGCGGCACTTCGGAAGTGGGGAGCAATGCACTGGACAACGCCCATATGGCACCCGCAGGCGAACCCCGTCGAACGCCGGAACCAAGAAATCAAAAAGGGCCTCCGCACTCATCTGGTGGGACAAAGCCCCAGCGCCTGGGCGGCCGTACTACCCATTGTCATGTTTACGTTACGTACGAGGAGAAACGCCGCTACTGGACTCACGCCGAGCCACGCGCTGCTAGGCTACGACCTACCCAGGCCAGGAG